CGTGCCCTTTCGGGCACCCGGGGTCGGTCCTTTAAATCCTTTGCGCTTTAAACGCTTTTGTGCAATTTAAGCTTTACCTTATTTTTTAGCTTCGTTATTATGCTTTGGCCGCGATACCGGTAGCTCGCCGGCATGTCCCCGGGGGGTCCGTGCCCGGCTGGCTGCCAGCGCCCCCTTTTTCCTTTTTTGCCGGGCGGTTTCGCCCGTGCATTTGACGCTCCCCGCTTTTTGCCGGGCGGTTTCGCCCGTGCTCCTAACAAATGCACAATATAGGACCTTTCCCCAAATCACAGAAATCTTTATTCATTACCTTTGGAGATTTCCAAGCCGTTTAACAGGAGTACCAAACTTTTACTAACAAATAGCTTATTTCGTACTTAAAATGAATACCCTTTTTTGGCGGCGAAAATAACGGTTTTGTTATTTTAAATTGTACATTTTTGCCTTTAAAAAATCGCTAAAGTTAGCATAATGCTACGGTAAACAGTGTTTTTAAAATAAATTTTTATAAATTGTTGTATTATTGTATTTATACGCTGTTATATTTATGGAAGAAGACCTTAGTGCTATTACATGGTGTGTGCGTGGGGAAAAACCCTTAGGTTATGCCTAAAGGGGAAAACCTTACGCCTGTGTTCCGCCTTTCTGGCGTTGCGCCTCCGTGGCGGTGTTAAACCGGTGGCTGCGCTTACTTTTGGCCTCCTCTGCAGAAACTACAAGTTTTGTTAAGGGGACTTTAATTAGTGGGGCACCGGATCCACAACAGTGTTAATTTTAATGTGGTTTGACGAACTCAAGTATTCTACTTAATTTGGAAACTCTTAATTGCAAGTTAATCTAAGCTTGGCCTTAATTTAATGCACGGGCGGCTAATGAACGTTTTTTGCTGTGCACTACCTACAACACCAAAAATCAGCATCGCGATCGCAACTATGGACCTTTCGCAGGCGCACGCCTCTTTTAAAGAGGCGGAAAAAGCGATGAAAGCGCAAGCGCACGCTTTAAGCTTTAACTTAACCGTAAAGTAGCGCTTTCCCGCTAGCGCTAAAAGCAATACGGTTACTCGCGTAAACTATCGTTATTAAAAAAAGCCGCAGCCTTAAAAAAAAACCCTTTAATTGCACGAATTGTTGCTTTTTATTACGTTGTTGTTACTCTATATCGTTGCATGCACTAATCATTTTTTCTGTTTTATTTCGACTCTTAATTTGGCTGCCGTACCAACTTGCGTTGTGGCGATACTGTGTGGGTGCGCGTGGCCCGCTTTATGCGGTCCCTTTAACAAAACGTGTGGTCCCCGCAGAGGAGGCCTTACTTTTTTTCTCCGCTCGACTGCTCGTAAGGGCTCCATTCGGGAATCAACCGTTCTTCCAAATGCAGCCCCCTTTGCAGGGGGCCGGCAAGGCCGCAACCTGCGCCTTAATTGTGGTTGGTTGGTTGGCTCGATTTTTGATCCGCCGGGCTGGCCCCTTTGCCAGGGGGGCCCCAGGTCGGGTCAACTTTGGTTGAGGGGGTCCTTTGCCGCTTTCTTTGCCCAAGCTTGTCCAGGGCGCCTGGGGGGGCCATCCTACGCACCTGACCTGGGCCCTTTCAGCTTCCGGCCCTTCCCCTCCCTGCTACCGTCCTGTTGGCCTGGCTTTCTGCGTTTTGGGCTACTTGGGGCGGTAGTAATTGGGTTGGTGCTGGGGCTGCAGGGGGCTAAGGCTTGTGGTTGATATTTGAAAGAGAAAGGGGTGGTGATTGAATTCGTCGGGGTAGGGTTGGGCCCTTCTAGGGGCCTTCCCTTTGTGGTTTAGCCTTCTGCATCTTGGGCCTCCGAAGCGGTGCAAGGAGGGGTTAGGAGGGGTTGGGGTTGGGGGGTCGGGGGCCTTCTTTCCCAAGGGCCCTCCCGTTACTTCCTTCCTCTTTGGCCCGGCCTTCTGCGTTTAACAGCTTCCGAAGTGGTGCAGGGAGGGGTTGGGAAGGGGAAGGGTCGGAATCGGATCAATTTGTCGGAATCGTTGGTTAAAAATCAACTCGGGCAAGGCCCGCTAGCGTAACGGCCCCTTTCTCTTTCCGGCCCAGCGGGGCGGGCAGCTAAGAAACAAAAAGTCTTTTGTGGTTTCGACGGGATTCGAACCCGTGGTCCTGGCGGACCGGGCTGGTGCGGAGCTACTGTACCACGAGGCAGCTTTTTATAAATTAATGCTTTATTACTTCAGTTATAATTGCTTTTAATACCAGCAGCGCTTAATTAGTATGGTTTACGTTTTAGTTAATGTGCAAAACGCAATTTTAAATAGTATTGAGTATAGCGTTTTCGGCATTTTCCCGTTACCTTTTATATTTTTTTATTGTTTTAACAAGGCGTTAAGAATAAGGTTTAGCTTGCCTTAAATATGCAGCATTTCCTTTTTAAATTTGGAAAAGTAAATTAAAGCGCTAATTAGCTGTTTATTAACTTTATCGGTAAACGTAATGTTTAATATATTCCGGTTAACAATTTTTATTATTAATTTATAGTTAGTAAGTACAAGAACGCCCGCGTTAGCGTTAAGTAAAGTTATTTGGAATTGTTTAATAATTTAAATTAAGCAAGCTATTTCTAATTGTAAAAGGCCGTAGTTAAGTTTTGCTTTTAATAAGCATTTTTAAAAAAAATTGGTTTAATTACGTAAGCGGGAACGTGTTTAGTAAAACGGTGTTAAACGTAACTTTTGCAAAAGTAGTATAATATATCGTTAAAACCGCGTTTAAAGTTATTGTTAATTTAGAAATATAATAATCGGTTCGGGTTAGCGTAGTACAAACGGAGCTTTTTAGTAAGTTTTTCCTGCAAGTCTTTAAAAAACCGGATTTTGTTTAAGGTAAGCTCGAATTTTACCGTTTTGCAATACGCAATACGTTTTCCAAGGTTCCCGTTTTTTTATTTTGCATTTTGCTACAAGCAAAGCGTTTTTTTTGCAACGGTTTAGCAAGTTATAGGTAGTAAGGAATTATGGTTTGTAATTATCCCGCGGGTTTAATATAAAAATTTAATTTTTTTTAGGGTAATTAGCATTTGCTATCCTTTAAAGCTTCAAATCCGGTTTTCCATATTGGATAAATCAAAAGTTAACGTAAAAGCTGAAAGGTTTAACGCTTAAATAACTAACGTACAATTTTTTGGGCGAAATAACGAGCTTTTTAATTTAAAAAAGCAAAAAAAATACTTTCCAAATGCTTATCGTACTTATCGAGGCTATTGCTATAAATTACAATATTATTTACAAAAGCGCGATAAAAATGCTTACAAAGCCGTAAAAGCTTGTTTATGTAGCGTTAAACGTACGCGGGTAAATTGCAATACCTATTATAGCTATTAATAATTGTTCGAAACTTCGATAGCGAATAATTACCAGTTTTTAACGGTTTAATAAATAAATTAAAAACTGGAAAAAAGCTTATAACGTTAATTACCGTAATATAGCGTTTTTACGGGAAAAAATCGATAAAGTTTTGTTATAACGGAAGTAAGTAAGCGTTAAAAACGGAAAATTTGTTAAAAAAACGCAAATTTACAACAATTCGTACTTTATTTTCCCCGTATACTTATTTCCATACAACGAAATATAAAAAGGCAAAAAGAGCAAGGTTATGCATAAAGGTTGTTAAATTACAGGGTCCAAGTTGGGGCTTTGTAGCACGATTACAGCAATTTATAAGGTTACGTTCACAAGGGTCGGGCCTGTCAAGCACTATAATATAGTGCTAACAGGCCCACGTTGGTTGTTAGAAATAGGTGCTATTCCAGGGAGAGGGTGCTAACTCAGTGCCTCTCCTTATATACCCACCAACGTTAATCTTAAGGGTTTTCCCCCTTAAAGGGTTGCGGTGCCGCGCGCGATTTTCCGCAATATTATTTTGTATGGGGATTGCAAAAAATCGACCCACGGCTACCAAAACGATTTCAGCGTTCGGCC